CATAATATCATAACAAGAATCACAGTCATCAAGAAAATACAAGCATAACTAACAGTTGTTACAAAGACAATCATCACACTACTGATAGGTTATGAGCATATCAACATTCTTATGTGATCATGCAGCCCTAATTGTTTTGGATCTAAGTTTTTCACTAATTGAACATGCAAATTAAATACCAAAGCAATAACCCTAAATCTAGCATACAATTTTCGAAATCCATATGAAATTAGGGTTAGAAGATTGCCTTTACTTGTTATGTAGTAATAACAAGAACAACCTTGAATATCCTTGACTCTTGAAAGCTTAGTACCCCAAATGTTGCACATCTAATGGTTCACAAACACCCAATGCAACAAGATGAGAGGAGAGACAAGAATTTCGGCCAGGGTATTTGAGGAACACATGCATGAGCCAAAATTCTAAGGCTTTGAGGGTTTATATATGGCTGAGGGCTGCTAGGGTTTCTGGAGGAAACCCTAATTTCCTGCTTAAGGCTTAAGCAGCCCATGGACCTCTTACCAGTAGGCCTTGGACGAAATCTATAGGGCCTCCCTATATGATTTCATCCACTCCTAATTAATGTGTCTAGTAGCCCAGTTTCACAACTATCAACGATTTGTAAAACAACCCCTCGATTATTAATCAATTCCTTTAATTCCAAAAATTAATGCCAATTTAATTTCTGATTAAATACTAATTAATAATATGAGTTCCAAATAATTATATTAATCTTATAATATATTAATAAAATCATTTTGAGTACCAATTTATTATTTTAAATAATAAGTCCTACTCTCTCTCTCCACCAGTCATCCTGTCAAGTTGCATGAGTGAATGCAACCCAAAAGGATCATGCTACAATCAAATCAAATACATACCAATTATAGTTATGGGCTTAGACACCTAATCCAACAGTCTCCCACTTGGATAATTCTAATAACTATGATTGCAAGTATGACTTCAAAATTTGACTATCAATCGTATCTTTCAAAAGTCGATGTCAAACTCTGAACTAGTCAATGACATTTCATTTAGATAAGTGATCAAATATCCCACCGTTCTACAAGATATCGTATGGACACGAGACATGGATTATAATCAATCTTTGCCCAAGATTTGTTTCCTGATTTCCGATTTATGACGACTGACTCAGACTACAATTGAACACGTCAACTTAGTCCAGGCTTGGCCAAGCTCTTAAGATGTCATCATTAAATCATCAAGGGGCCCACATATGTCGCTTTTATCCCATTTGGGGTAAAAGGAACGGATAAACTTCGAATCATATGCTTGTACTATTCACTCATCAAATCATACACAAAAATACGTTTTATAACATCAAGTTACTAATTACGTATTATCAATGCACAGCCGACTCGTAAACAACAACTCATATGTTTCCGTTATTCGGGAAGTAAAAACATGCGAAGTGAAACACAAGAATAACCTAATTAAATATGGTCTCAACCAATTGAATATAAATAAAACACTTATTATTTAATCACTATGTAACGCCTGATTCCTGGTACGCATTTAATTTTAATTTATTCATTTTTTAAGAGCTACTTGACGAGTTGGGAGCCCCAGACTCGTCAAGTAGAAACGATATTGGACGTGGGATCCAAATCGTTCCGATGCCATGAAACCCAAATGGACAATGCCAAGTCCGGGTCGAATACATACCATTAATAGTTATGGGCTTAGACATCTAATCCAACAGTATCGACCGACCATCGTTCGAAATGTTGTATGGTCAAAGGTGTAGGACCACTTTTTGTTGGGGTGAGGTAGGACAGCGAGTCATGGGGAGCACCGAGGTGATGCTCAAGACTACCGAGTTGATTCAGCAGGTGCATGACAGGCTACGAGTTGCACAGAGCCGTCAGAAAAGCTATGCTGACCGGTGCCGATCGGATCTTGAGTTTCAGGTGGGGGATTTCGTCTTGCTGAAAGTGTCACCATGGAAGGGTGTCATTAGGTTCCGAAAGAGGGGCAAGCTACGGCCCCGATATATTGGACCGTTCAGAATTACTCCACGGGTGGGCAAGGTGGCCTATCGCTTGGATCTGCCGAACGATCTTAGCCAGATACACAACACCTTCCACGTGTCCCAGCTTCGGAAGTGTGTCATAGACGAGGCCGCAATTGTTTCTCTGGACGACATTCAGGTGGACGCGAGCCTGAACTACATTGAGAGGCCTATTACGATTCTAGATAGGAAGGCCAAGATTCTTCGGAACAAGGAGGTGAAATTAGTGAAGGTGCAATGGCAGCACTGAAGAGGCTCCGAATGGACATGGGAGCCGGAAGAGGAGATGCGAGATCACTATCCAGATTTGTTTGCGTCAGCGGACTTCGAGGACGAAGTCTAGCTCAAGTGGGAAAGATTTGTAACGCTTGTTCCAGGTATCAATTATTTCTCAAAATTTTAGGGTTTTAGACTGGAACTGGACGAGTTTGGGAGCTCCAACTCGTCGAGTAGAAATCATTTTTAGACGTGGGACTTAGGATCTACTCGACGAGTTGGAAGGCCCCAACTCGGCGAGTAGACACTGTAAAGGAAAACCCTAAGTTTTAGGGGTTTTGTACCCTATTTAAGGAACTTATGGGTCATTTGTGGCCTCCCTCATCGTCCTACCTGTTCAAAGAGAAACCCTAGTCGTGCTTTAGTGCCTTCTTTAGGGTGTGTGAGCTTTGGAGAGTGAATCTTGTGCTTTTTGGAAGGAAACTTGGAGCTTGAAGAGATTGAAGTGAGGAGAGGGCTTTTTAGATCCGGCATCTACCTGGTGTTAGCATCCATTTGGAGGTAAAAAGTTGCTACCTTGATCTCTATTTGCTTAGAAGTCATCTTATGGAAGAATATGGTCACTTTTGGTGCAAAAGGTTATCATACTCGGATTTAGACTTGTCATGAGGATATGGTTCCAGATCTGGACACCTCTAGGTCTTCATAGACATAAAGTTGCTCCCTTTACCTAGTCTAGGCCCTTTTCCATGTTCTAAACATTGTATGAACCCTAGTTTTTTAGTGTTTTAGCCATTTGAGGCCATGCATACACGTAAAGTTTGCAACTTTACGTGGTATTTCAGTCTTAAGGGACCGGATCTGTAGTTTAGAGGTTTGGATTCGACTGGAAGGATGGATTATGTTGAGGCAAAGGAAAACTCGTCGAGTTGCCCTGGCGACTCGACGAGTTAGATCGGGTTTCCCCGCCTTCTGGATATTGAGTGAACTCGTCGAGTTAATGAGACAACCCGACGAGTTGGCTAGGGTTTGTCCCGGTTTTCTGGACTCTGAAGGAACTCGACGAGTTGCTAGATGCACTCGATGAGTTGGGGTTAACATGGATTGTTGACCTTGACTGTTGACTTGGACTTTGACCAGGGTTGACCAAGTTTGACCTAGAGGGTATTTATGGTATTTCGGGATTTTGACAAGTTAATCACATGATGGTTATAGGCAGTTGAGTTGGAGCTGCGCGTTGGGACTTATCTGATCTTATCTTATCAGTTCAGCATTTTGAGAAGGTGAGTCTCCTCACCATACCAATGGGTCTAATGCACTAAGGCCGGCTCATTGTTGTTATGAGATATGACTAGTTGGTTATGGGATATGTGGTATGCTAGTTATTTGTGATACTCGCATGAAAGACTCGGGGGGTTCCCGAGGCACTTATGTGTAAGACCTTGGAGGGTTTCCATGGCATCCTAGTATATTTGCATGTGTGGCTTGTATGTTATTTCTTGGTAGTAAAAGACCGTGTGGGGATTCCCACGGCAGAAAGACCATGTGGGGGTTCCCCATGACAGGAAGACCATGTGGGGGTTCCCATGGCAGGTAGTTAAGACCATGTGGGGGTTCCAGTGGCACTAGGTGTAAGACCTTGGAGGGTGTCCATGGCATCCTTATATGTTGTATGCATGGCTTATGTGGTTTGTGTAGCTTTTATAGCTAATATGGTATATGTGATTACGTGGACTGTGTGGGGTATGCTCTGGGGAACTCACTAAGCATTAGCTTACAGTTTGTGGATTTGTTTCAGGTACATTTGAGTCTAAGGGCAAGGGCAAGGCTTAATACCGCGACATGCACTCTTCGACGCTTGTTTTGATGGGACACTCTGATATTTGAAATAAAATTGTTGATGTGTGAATTTGAAAACAAATGGTCTTGAGATTTTTGTGGTTTTTGGAAATGTTTGATTATTTAAAAATGAAAAAAAATCATTTGAAAATTTGGGTCGTTACATTTAGAACTTTGTTTCCTATAAATAGTGTTGCTAACTTGCAACACTTAGCATAATAATCACGCTCCCATTAGCATAACAATTCAATTATGTTCTTACCAACATATCAATTATGCTCCCACTAGTTTTGACATGTATCCAGAAATCAACTGGACTTCTAGAAATCATTACCTATTGACTTTCTTACCAAAGTTCAAATTTCTGATACGTAGTGCTTTGATAAGTCTTTATCTAGACTTCTCAACCTCATACACCTTTCATTAGACAACTTATGTGTGTGTCTAAACCCTTTCAGAACTTATACCAATAAGTCCCGAACGTTCAAACTATTTTCCATTTCTCATAATTCGAACTATGAAAAGTGATGTCATAATCATACTCGAATTTGAAAATGCAATTATCACAACTGCTAACTCTAATGATATTAACCAATCCTATAAAATCCACAAGTGAAAGCGTTTCCTCACAATCATTTTCGTGAAGTAGAGAGAAACCTCTTACCACTTAGATTTTATGGTGTATGTGTTCCTATCCATGTGAATTTGTCATTTCCAACCACTATCATAAGACAAGGTTTTATGACAAATTCAAACTCATATGGACCGAACTTGCTTAATCTTAACTAGAGAAGTGTCCCTCGCTTTGCGGGGGTCGGAAGTCTTCAATGTTGTGTTTTTGTTATAGTTAAATGGTGTTGTGTTTTAATATTCATTAGCTTGATTACCATGTTTGTGTCAACTGCACTCTTATTACAAACCAAACCAACGAAATTTCATAAAGGGAAACTCAATTTCTTTTCAAAAGAAACCGGAAACCAAATTCAAACCCTACCATACCATATCAACGATATAGCATACACAAATAGTAATGGAAAACATAGAAACTATAGTCCCTTTGTAGTTCATGAATGAGCAAATAAAACCATTGATTCAATAATGCGCATGTTAACCCCACAACCTCTTTTTACAACCACCCTCTTAATGAAGAAGAAGATGCCAAGTCGGTACGCTGATAGAGGATTTGGGCAGGTGGTTGGGCAGATTTACATGGAGCTAAAGTGATTTAGCCTGTTGTACTCCATAAGGGCCCTAAAGGATAGTGAGCTTTCACATAATATGGATCTTTATTTTTGTATTCTACAAGAATCTACAATCAATACACCATTAATCAGAAGCCATACTAACTTTTAAGAATTTGCAAAAAGATGAAAAAAGGGTGGATAAAGGTGAACTGATAAAGTGATAACTACCTTGTTGTAAAATTCGGTTGATTGCCAACATTCTTCCACATGTCTGATACGCATGCTCATTCCTAAAAAGATAAGAACAAATAATGGTTGCTTTGATGTAAGCTTGATATGTTAATTGTTCATGGGAAGAGATAAAAGAAGAATAAGAGTTTTTGCTGGATTGCATATACAAAGAAAGGTTGTCATAAGCAACCCTTCAACTGTCAGTTATGGTTACATCAAAGCAACCCTTTAACTGTCGGTTATGTGTGTGTTATGTAGCGGACCACCCGTCATTTTGTAAACCCATCAGTTTTGTTCCTTGCTCGTTTGTGGTAGACTTTGACAGTTTGGTTTAGAAAGGATATATGTTAACAGAATCCAACATACCCATCATTTGGTAAAGCCACATGAATATTCTAAAAAATAAAGTCATAAATATATAAGCAATAAAAAAAAGACTTATATTAAACACTTTGTCAATAGGAATTGTAGGGGAATGAAGGGTGACCAAAAAATTTCGATTTAAGGTAATCGATATAAAGAGGATATGTTGAAATGTAAAAATTGGGTGCATTATTACTTTTGTAGTCTGGGTGTGCTTACTTTGCAAAATTAAGTTTATTAGCACGAAACATTTATAATTATTACTACAAAGTAGTTGGATTCGTTACTATGTAGTGATAAAACTAATCTGTCTTTTAACAAATATTATATTTTGTAATAAGTAAATACGAATAAGTTATTTTTGGATAAGAATTAAGAAAGTAAAACTTAATTGTAACTATTAAATCAGTCGTTTAATAACATCAAAATTTTAAATAGATGTGAAATCATGGACATTACCCTATCTTTAACCAAAAGGTGCAGCCTCTATGAAGAGGCTTAGTCATTCACATCCATTCGCACAAAAACTCATTCGGTAGAGTTAAGTATTAAAACTTGTTATTTTGGATTTAAGTATAGACTTGATTAAATACTATTTACATATAAGTTAAATATGTTAGTTTTAGTTTGTAGCTACAGTCATAAAATCATATTTTGTTCACCATCTGTTGTGAATAAAAGACATAAGGGCAAAATGGTCATTCTAATAAAATTTACAGCAAGGCAGTTAAACTTAAAGATACACAAAGCTTTCCATCCCAATGTTGGAGGGATTATTTCAGAGGGTATTTGGAATTTTCTTCTTTAACAAAACCGATACAATTGAAAAGTAATGCAAAAAAAAAAAGATATACATACCTTCTTAATATCTGTAATTGAAAAAAGGCGAAAATCATTGCTAAAAGTAGCAATCCCCTAATCCTTCGCCTTTTAAAGAGTCCCAAATCCCAACCACCTAAAAACTTTAAATAAAAATATATATTAAATTCAGTCAACTTTTTTTCATAAAAAAAAAGTATTCGACTTACATTTCACTTGCATACCTCACAATAGTTGACATAGTAACTTCCATTAAACTTCATGTAACTATGAATTTGCAGTCCTCACGAGGAGCTTGACCAGTGCTTCATCCATCATAATTCCATTTTGTCAGCTTCTTGGGATCAACTACAGGTCTAGGAAGTGTATAACAGAAGAGCGTAAAAGTAAAATCGTTTAAATGATGATAAAAGAAGACGGATTTAATGAAGAAAACACAAAGAAATCGACGTTTCAAAGTACTTACTGTTATTTGCTTCGAAGATCCATACCCAATCCACCGATCCTATAAGAGATTTCAAAAAATTTAGGATGTGTTTGGATATAATAATGTTTTTTCTTATGATGTTGATTCTAAAATTAAACAAAAACTTCAAGATTATCATGGTAATCAATGTTAAATTCTTATTCTCCATGTTTGTGACTTCCATTTCCATCCTAATTTAGATTCATCGATTCACTTATTTTGTTGCACAGATTTGCAGCTCAGGTTATTAATTTTATAGGAAATTAGTGTTATCATCACATATCTAATCAACTCCTACAAATTTAATATAAACTACACAGTTCATCAAACCCAATAAAAAAGAAACCAAAAAATGAAAACTTGGTTAAGAATCGAAGAAATTGGAAGCACCTGTTACTTTACTTGCCCCCATTTACTACTTACTTGTCCCAACCTTACTTTTCATTTCAGCACCGGTGACAGTTCCCTGCCTCCCACGTCGCTGCGAAGCCTGAGCGTGAGCCAGGCCGGTCGGTTTCCGTAGCCTCTGAATCATTGACCTACAATACAATACAACCCAAGCCACAATGTTTATGTTTGACTTATTAGAAACAGACGCTATGGTTGATAATAATATTTAGTAAATATTTACCTGAGATCTGAGCTCTTTGTTGGTTTTCTGTTGCAAGGTTGGGAGTTTTGAATGATTGAACATCTAGTTCATGTTCATCGGCACCATCAGTAGTCGCGATCTCAAAACCATTTACACCTTGGAATCCGATATTATAAGTCCACCGTTATTTTATGTATCCCAACATCGTGTTGCTGTTGCAGCTACGTCTTGCTTGTTTGCGATGACTTTATCATCTTCTTCTACATACATCGTCTCACCAAGGCTAGTACTTATTATTGGAGGCCATGGAGGTGAATTTGCGAATAGTTCATCCAAATCGAAGCTTTGTGTCTTCTGCCTCGACATACTACTCTTTCTATCCATTTAAAAAGACACACATTTTTTAGATTCATAAAATGATTGATGATTCTTTAATCTTATTGTGTTTCATTATAACTCATTGAATTGATTACCTCAAAGCTGGGTACTACATCTGTTTCCAGATCCCCTTCCTTCTTTGCAAGAGCCGCCTTAAGATTTGCAATCTGAGGTGGAAAATGTGGATTTTACTTGCTGGTTTAATAGTGTATATAAAATAAACTTGATACAAAACAAAACAAAAGTTGAGAAAATGTGATTTTACTGGTTCTTTGAGGTCTTTCACATCTGAACTACTATCCTTTTGTAGTTGCGCAACACCGAGTTCAACAGTTGCAACTCACTAAGCAAACTTAAGCAAGTGCATTAAGCATTTCACCAACGACATTCAATTTGGGGCTTATGTGAACAAACATCAATGTCTTTTCTTGTCCTCATGCATACATCCACAACATAGGACCACGGATTTATAATTTAATTTGGGACTGAAACCTTTATCCATAAAGATGGTGTTGGTGCTGTTTTCCTACCAAGTGAATCTTGAAGCAACTGTGTGAGTTTGCTGTTTCTGTAAGGCACATGTGCGTTCTTTTGAGCAAGTGAAGAATCTCCAGCCACTTCATATTTGTCTACTCTTTCACTTCCTGCTAAATAAACCAAATGCATACAACCACGTAGAACAGCTACAGATGTCAGGTCTCTTCCTTGGACATGTAAAGTCAAACAACTACAATTAATAAAAATTTTAAATATAATATTAGCATTATTTTTAATTCTCTTTAACTCAATCTTTACGAAACAATGCATACCTGAGAAACCCAAAAAAACATGAAATGGAGCAATATAAGCATGATAAATATAAAATTTCGAAATCAAATATTAAATAAACTAATACCTCTTTCGGTTCATTATCCAATTTATTATACCTCATCTTGAGCCAAGTAGAAAAGGTATCGACGAACATACTCAATCAGGATTTTGATGTTCACACAAGGACCACATATAAAAGAAGGGTTTGGAAGAGACGTTCTTTAATAAGCCTGTCTTTGCTCTGGATTACTCAGTAGTTGGTATGCTTCTCCTAACACCTGTAATAGAACATTATTTTTTACTCAAAACAATTAAGTGAAGAAAAAGAAAAAACTATATGAACATCTTGACTAAACATCTGGATGAAAGTGTTGGCTGAAAATTTTGTGCTCCAAGAGGATCATTTCGATTTTTATCTGGATGGACCTGTCGTGGCAGTAGAAATTTGTATTGTCACAGCACAGTTCCTTGGTTTTTATATATTTGACATTTGGTATGATTAGGTCAAAGTTAATAAGAGACGTAACCTATATAGACTATGCTATTGGGGATATAATCTATATCACCGTTGAATAGAAAATATAAAATACCTCGATTCGTAACTATGTGCCATTCCTTCATTACTGGTTTACTAAAAGTATACGCAACATAAAAACGGGAGATGAAGAAGATTAGAGGAGATTGAAGTAATTAAAGAAGTGATGAGATTTATGACCTTGATGTAATAAGGTTTCTTAATTTCAGCCTCCGTGGCCGTGGGATTAACCCCGACGACGTCATAGCACTCCCTCTCCTTCACCATGGATCATATTCTCTGTAGGAGCTCTTGTTTGGCCTTCCGACGAATAATCGATCTAGTGTTGTTGCGAATCAATACTTTTCCACCGAAATCGCAAGGCTTGAAACTTGGAAATCCTCGACTGAAAATTTTGGCAAAGCACAGAGCAGCTGAGAAGCGGTGGAGGTAGCAGAAGGTAGAAGAAGGGAGGAACTCGATTTGGGGAGGATAAAAGTGAGCCGTGGTGGAAACATCGGATGTAAAATCTGAGAGCAAACTAAAGTAACCGAGAGATAGGCGGTGAAGAATAATGACACCGATCTTAATTTGATTGGCTTACAGAGACGGTGAAAGGCAGATAGGACTAACACGTGTGTAGGTCTAATTTAAAAAATGGCGAAAAGGACCTCCTAGAAAGAAAACAGACGAAATTCACCATATAGATATAAATAAGGGACCAATTTCGATAATTGCCTAGGAAATTTACTCTTCCTAAGTTGACTATTGACCAGATATTCCAAAATGTTCAAAAGGCAAAATAGGAGGACCAATCCTGTCAAAAAGTCAGGAACTTTACTGTTCCTAACTTTCATTTCCTTAATATATATATATATATATATATATATATATTATATTAATTTCTTGCCATCCGGTAGCACAAGGGTCTATCGATGCTTCCAACTTATTGAGCAGCTCACCTATACAAATCAATATACTTTCACTTATCAAGGTGCTTTGCCTTATGCAGTCAAATAAGAACTCATAGAACTCACATGCATAATTAACTTAATTGGAATGGGCACAAAAACAAGAATGTGTCAACACGATAGGTTATCAACCTTAGGTCGTGTGCTAGTGATTACTAAAAGGTTTATTTTCGATTGTCTCCTGAAACTTTTCAAGATCAACAAGACTCTCACTGGCCTCTTGACATATAAGATTCGCTGTCAAGGATCATTCCTTGACAAACAAATGTTCAAGAGTTGGTGTGGGTTCTTATCAAGAAAACACTTCATATAATTGGTCTTATTTGGTCTTTGTTTTAACCAACACATCACAACTACTAATTTCAAATGTGCTAGAGCAAGAAAATATTTCTACTCCATACTTCATGAGGTATTGTAAACCTACTTAGAACATGTTACTCAAGGTACAACTTGGAGTAACTAGAGTATGACTCTAAAACTTGTTTTTGGAACGAAGTATGACTCATCTTCTTGATTTAACCATTTCAACAATATTTGATTCTTCTTCTTAGTGATATAAATGCACTAAGGTGTTCTTGGATGATCAATTGTGACATGGTTTCATAATCTTTAGGATGATCATAAAACATGATACTAAAGTACTCTCCTTTCCTTTCAGATTGGAGAAACATTTATCTTTCTGCCTAATGAATTCTTCTTATTCGTTCTGCTATACTTTGAAACTTTTCAAGGTATCAGAATTACACCCAATGTTGTAAGCATAACCATATTTACTGAATCAACAGTAAATCACGACGAATAGACTTTATTATCCTTTGTGGTGGATCTGACCAGTTCACATCAATGTGTACCAGATCCTTTAGTCCTTCACTTGACTCACATATACACGTGAGCAAGGAATTTAGTCTTAATTTTCCAAAGATCAAGATTCTCATACATCACACAATTCAAATCGTATGATTCCAAGTTTCTGTCCAATTGAAACTTTGGTGATGAGAATCCTTCCTCACTTGCTAAATTATGACACTACCATAAGGTATATAACTAAGAATCAAATCCATTTTCAACATTGCTAATAATAGAAATATAAACACCAATTTTCATAAATGTCATTGCAAGTAATCATAAAGCAAATAAAACCAAAATTTACTTTATTGTTAATGTGCGGAAAACTTGTCCTTACAATGCAGATACACATGAAAACTATGTTTCTAAATATTCATAAGCAATCTATCATAACTCCTAAGTAGCAGCTCTAAATCCTGATCATTGAACCATGTGACCGAAATCCATTTCTTCAGATCAGAATCAGCCTTTACTTCCTCTTAAGCTTCCTTCATTCTCTTAGATTCTGCAAGACATCAAAATGAAAATTATCACATCATGTACTAAGAATCCATGAACATGAAATTAATAAATTTAGATAGTGGATGTACCTGAAGTTGAGTCATACAATTTGACTTTACCATCTCTAAGATCTCTGAGGTAGTCTGGGCAGCTTCGCTTCCAATGCCCCTTCAATAGGCAATAGAGACAGATGGACTCTTCAGGAGTGACACGTAAAACTATCTCAGACTTGGCCTTTCTTTTACGGTCAAACTTTTTTACCTTGGCCGATTTTTCTCCTTTAGGAGGAGAAACCATTTATGGACTATCACCGTTTGTCACACCCCCAAACCAAGGATGGAGAAAACGTCCGGGGGTGGAGGACTTCATGTATAGTATCACAACAACGAGTATAATAGTGCTCAAAGTAAATACAACCATCATAAATATAATTGATAAGGTTACACCATGGTATATGTTTACATGTTTCAAAATCAATTACATTATGATGACAAAATGAACTGTTTGACGATTAACGTCCCATCCTCAAAATGCTGTTCGTTTCCTGTTTCACTGATTTCCTGAGAATACAAGTAGTTTTGAAAAGTGTCAACAATTAAGTTGGTGAGTTCATAAGAGTTTTGTTTGAGGGAAAAATCCGTTTTCCTTGTAAAAACGATAGAGTATGATTCCAGAAAATCGAATATTTTCCTTGTTAAGTGTGAAATAAATGCTCCTATGTTATGCGATAATGAACCCTAGAAAGACCCGTAGATTCCTTCTATAATTACCCAGTATATATAAGTTATATAAAATTTAAGTTAAATAAATCGTCGAATATAATGGGTCTGCCCTAGGTCCACAACCAAACAAGGAACAGGAAGTAAGGCGGGCCCACCAATTCTAAGTCGATTGTGACTAGATTCTTATATAACTCTAGCATATACACTTAGCAATCATAGCTGAAGTCTAACAATTCTAGATGAAATGTAGTTTTAAGATAAATATGTTTCCAAAGAAAATCCAATATTTTCCTTATAAAAGTTATGTAGTCTTAAATGTCCAGACCGAAATATACAAGTATTTTTCCATACTTAAAGTAATTCATGTGAGTTTAAATCGACATAAACTCGTTTAATTTAAAAGTAAAACCCGTAAATCTTATGTTTTGTTAATACCCCATGTAAGTTATTATAACCATACTATGACTCAGACGGCCTTGTAATACGACGTTCTTCAGGCGTCGCAACGTTAAATGACACTTGTCACCCCAGACCTGCCGATCTAACTGTTGCATGCAGCTCAGGTGTGGGTTTGTCAGACCAAATATAGATCTATACACAACTATCACGCTCTCCCTACAAGAGACTCTGGTTACAATTACAGGACTTTTGATTTCGTTACTTGGAAGTAACGCGAAGCGAATGTCTCACAAGTTTATTCATTAACAGATTTACGTGAACTGAACTGAAAACCTTTGGTAAATGAGTTTGAAATGTAAATGAAACATAAACTATACCTATTATAGTTTATCCAAAACGTTTGTAGTGTAAAATAACTCTTTTTATGAAAATACATTAGTGCTATGAATCCATAAACTATTACTATTATGTAGTGTATGAAAAACTCATTTGTTTTGAGAGTAAAACCTTTCTCATGTAATAAAAATCCATAAACTATGCTTATTATAGCTTATTATATGTGTTCGAGATGAATGAAGAATCTTATCATGAATGACTAAATTTCAGTTTATGATGATAAACTAACAAGAAAATACATTCAATATTTAGAACTTATTGTTATACATTTTGCTCAACATAATACAAAGTGTTATGAAAGTTATAAGCTGTTAACTAGTTTTTAACCTTTCAGCACTGTTTTAGAGAAATCATATAAAAATCATACGAAGTCGAAAACTGAATCCGTAAATTCTGAGAGTTCATAAAATGTGTCTAGTTTATTCATAATTTTTATTATGATTTTTAGAAGTCTTTAACTTGTGTTAAAATGTTCATATTCACAGACTGGTCCGAGTTTGTTTCTGAAATGATAGGCAGTTTTGTAAAAATCACCATAAATCGTAGAAAAATCGTATGGAGATGTTAAAGTAGTCACTTTAAAGGTATGAACCTGAACTATTTGCATTTTATGCAGTTTTGAAAGATATTAATTTTAAGATAGTCAAAACAGTCCGTGAATAAGACTCAACTTTTCTGATGAAAGCTGTTGTTTGAGTTTAGTTAAGTTTTTGGTATTTTAACTTGTATTCCCCCCCTGAAAACTAAAGAAAACATGAAAATGTAGGGGTATGAACTCACCTTGAGTGATTTCAGTAGATGGATGGTGGAGGAAAGAAGTGTTCAACTCAAGAACACTTAGATGATGCTTGAAGATTCGAAGTTCTAACACAAATATGATGAAGTTTGTGTAAGAAACCTATGATTTGAGTAGAAAGGAGTGAAATAATCATATGGAGGATGATAATACTTACCAAAAGTAGAAGAAAAGCTTGGAGAATAGCCTTGAATCTCGAAATTTAGAGAGAATGAAGTTTGTTCTTTGGTGGAAAATGAGAGAAATGTGAGGAGAGAGGAGGGTTTTCCAGCCCTTGACTAAGTGTGTGGCTGGAAAATGGTGGGAAAAGTACTATGGAATGACTAGGTATGGTGGAAGGACAAGGGTGGTTCATGGAGTGGGCATGGGGTGGTTGCTTGTGTCATCACTAAAGCAAAGTCAGCACTCCACCTTAAGTATCTCACCCACTAATCTTGGACAATGATTGCACTCAAAAATGTGATTATTAATGAAGTATGGGGTCTTATATGTTAAAATATGATTTTGGGTGAAAATCCCACGCAAAAATCATGTAAAACGGGCCTAAAATGACGTCGTAGTCGAAAACCGGGTGAATTTGGCCTATCTGCGAGACTTCTCGGTACTGGGCCGAGGTTCGGTCCCTACTGTTGCTGGGCCCGAAGGCAAAATGGACGAAATGAGCCGAAGGCGAAGGTCAGGAGCAAAAGCGAACTTCGGGTTTGGGTCATCAGGCTTCGGTTTCGTCCTAAGGGTTTCGGTTCGGAAGGTTCGGTCCCTATAGCAAGCTTCGGTTCTTCCTAGTTTCGGTCCGAGAGGCTTCGGCCCTTAAAGGAAGGTTTCTGTTCTTTAAGGCTATTTTTCAAGAATTCTTCCCGTTTTGGGACGTTTTTCACCAAGTTAAGTGTCAGGATGCCCGAAATGATTATAAAAAGTTAAAGGAACTTTTGAGAGAGATTTGG